AAAAAGAGCAACTTTTACCCAAAATCAGGCAAAGCAGGCAGGCAGATTGAGTTCTCACAGAATCACACATTCACTTAGAGATCTGTGTTTCTGCCATCGGCTATCTGAGTCTGAACTTAATAATAGAACCTTCAGTCCTAAGGGAGGTTCGGCTCTGCTTTTAGGCAGAACTGAAGATCTAAAGATTAGGTAGAAAGCAAGAAATCCAACGATTACCTGCCTTCTAGCTAATCTAAATCTTCCAGCAGAGCAGAACACTTGATGGTTGGGGGAAGAAAAAGGAAAAATGGCAACTTAGCAGGCAAGTTTGCCAGGTAAGGAGTGACTGGGCGGGGAAGGTTGCTGTGGGTCATGTGGGCGGGGCAGACTTGTGTTCCTGCACAGCCTGGATTAATTGCTTTGGGGGGTGCTCTAAGGGTAACATTTCTCTGCGGACCACCAAAATTTTCTCGCAGACCACCAGTGGGCCTCGGCCCACCGGTTGGCAACCACTGGTATAGAACATTCATAAGTTAGCACTTAACTAAGCTGAATCTTATTTCTTGATGAATTGACACAGATTGGAGTGACACACACAGTACCTATTTCACACTCCCAAACATCCCCAGGCACCCTATCTATCCTGTGCCACCTCTGCAAACACCATTTCCAACCAGCATGGTACATCTCACACATCATGATCCCCCATGCATGTACAACTCCCATGTACTCTTTGCAAACCACCCAGCACCTCTTGTTTAGCCCCGTGTAGCATTTTCTGAACTGCAGGCTTGCACACCCCCTCGGTTCCTCTCTTACCAGCAGCAACAATCTGCCTACTGGCTTTGAACTTCCATAGCCCTGTTGTCTTTCCCAATGACTTTCTCCTTGCAAACTTCCTGTAAGAAAAATGAATAGGGAAGCTGGCAAGAAGGCAGGTATGTAGATAGTGACAGGTAGGTAGGTAGGTAGGTAGGTAGGCGGGCAAGAAAGAAGGAAGGAAGGAAGGAAGGAAGGAAGGAAGGAAGGAAGGAAGGAAGGAAGGAAGGAAGGAAGGAAGGAAGGAAGGAAGGAAGGAAGGGTGTGACAGCAGCGAAACAAGCTAAAACAATTCTTGGTTGTATAAACAGAGGCATAGAATCAAAATCATGTGAAGTATTAGTACCGCTTTATAAATCTTTAGTAAGATTACACCTGGAATACTGCATCCAGTTTTGATTGCCACATTACAAAAAAGATGTTGAGACTTTGGAAAAAGTGCCAAGAAGAGCAACTAAGATAATTAAGGGCCTGAAGACATGAAGAATGGTTGCAGGAATTGGGTATGGCTAATCTAGAGGAAAGGACTAAGGGTGAGGTCATGAAGAGGAGGATTTTCTAAAATACCAGACGGCAAGACTAGAAACAATGGATGGAAGCTAATCAAGGATAGAAGCAACCTGGAATTAAGGAGAAACTTCCTAACAGTGAGGACAACTAACCAGGAGAACAGCTCACCTTTAGAAGTTGTGGGTGCTTCATCACTGGGGGTTTTTAAGAAAAGACTGGACAGCCACCTGTCTGAAATGGTATAGGGTCTCCTATTTGAGCAGGGGGTTGGACTAAAAGACCTCTAAGGTCCCTTCCAGCTTTATTCTGACTGATTGGTTTCCGAGGCTCCTTGCCAGCTTCGGCCAAGAAAACTCAATGAACATATCAACAGGAAGTCAAAAGTCATGCCTACTCTCACTGCCTTTTTGCCTATCCATGGTCATTTTGTTTTTGAATATGAAGAAAAATGAAATGCAATAAAGTAAAGAATAAAAAATGAATTTCAGAAAAACTGAAAACAAATACATTGAATAGTCACTCTGAGCAGAGATGTTGGCCTAAGACTAAGAAGACTTTGGAACAGTCTCTCATTCTTTGACCAAATCTACCTCACAGGGTAGCCTTTAGGGAGAAAACAGAAGGAAGGGGAGCTATGTATACCACCTTTGGTATTTTAAGGCAGGGGTCTCCAACCATGGCCAACTTTAAGCGTGGCGGACTTCAACTCCCAGAATTCCCCAGCCAGCAAAGCTGGGAGTTAAAGTTCACCAGGCTTAAAGTTGGCCATGGTTGGAGACCTCTGCTATAAGGAAAGTGGTGTAGAATTCAAACAAACTAATCAACCCAACAAGCTAGCTATGAGACAGTGAGGCGTTCACATATGCACGGTACAAAAATAACAAGCACCAAATGTAATCAATATCATAATGATTGCTTTCTTCTCTTTATATAATTTGGGTGTCAATCATATACACACATACATATGAAAAATACCAGAAGTAATAGGGTCTATATATATGCTGTCACCTCAGAAAAGAAATGTACATATTCTTCAGCAATATGGCCATTACCATCTATGCACTCAGCTGCTGGAAAGTGAAACAAATATTCAGACTTTGAACCAATGTGCTAGCAGAAAGGAAACTACCCCCACTTCCAAATAAATACGTGGCTAGAAGTTGGAACAAATGCAAAAAAAAAAAATTTAATAGAGCTAAATGCAGACCCCGGGCAGGTGTGACTCTACATTAGTGGGATGGTGTTTACTCCTTTTGTTCCTATGCCTGAATGGATTATTTCATTTTAAAAAGAAATAACCTGTTCTGGATTACCTATGGTCAGACCTAGGCTGGGTCTCAGTTTATGATAAACATTTGCAAGATAAATGTAAGTATTTTAGTATTATCTAAGAAATGTCACACATTTCCGCACTAGGCCTCTTCCCAAAGGAATATTTTTGTACCACAATTTTTCTGCTATAACCACACTTCGTGCAGGAAATGGATTCAGGCATAAAGAACAAGGAAGAACAACTTCACATCAGGATATAATTGTACAATTGGTGTGAATTGTGGTATTGAAATACTGCCATGATACATGGCAGTATTGCCATGATATCATATGCCATGATATCTCATCCCATCCCCACCGACACATACAGAATAGATGTTTGCTTGGGCAGAAAATGCAGAGTTTTATTAACAGTTTTAATAACAATTATAGTACTATGCCTATGGAAAAATGAATCCTTTCACAAATTACTCTACCCCTACCCCACTGATGCCCACAGAAAGGATGTTTGTTTGCTTGGCATAAAATGCAGTTTTATTAATTTAGTTTTAGAAACAATAGTAATAGGACTATGGAAAAATAAATCCTTTCACAAAAACACTTAAAACACACTGTCTGAGGGAATCATTCTGAATAAGCAGGAAAAAAAGAAGGCAATTGAATTTTGGGAGCGCTATTTTCTGATTAATCACCTTGACATCTACATCCATTGTCAGAGTGGTCTTTGTCACCGGAAAGCGTCATTCAGAAAGAGGCTAAAAAGATTTAAAAAGAAACCCCTAGAATCTTTGTCAGCAGTTGAATAACTCTAGTAGCTGGCGTAGCAATCAGTCACTGTGATCATCTCATGCTCGTTTTCTCTTACGTGACACCATACCGATGACAGCCTGTGACACTGACAACAGCAATTGTTTCTATTTCTCACCCCCTTGGAATATTTTTATATTTATTCTTCCAAAATAAACCCCCCCCCAAAAAAGGAGTCTAAGCCAGACTCTCTTCCTTATAGACATCTGTGAATGTATATTAGGCACGCTTTTCTTTGCTGAATCATTCCTTCAGTACCTGAATAGTCCATTTAAATCAGGGGACTCCAGCCGTGGCCACTTTAAACCTGGAGGACTTCAAGTCCCAGAATTCCCCAGCACCTTTGCTGGCTGGGGAATTCTGGGAGTTGAAGTCTTCCAGGCTTAAAGTGGCCAAGGTTGGAGACCCCTGATTTAAAACACAAAAAATGTATACATATATTTTCTAACAAAATGGTTTGGTTCAAGCAGTAGTTAGTTAGAAACCACATTTCTTAATCACTGACTGATACCTCATGGAAACCTTTATTTCTAGCCTGGGTTAATGTTTCAGGACATTCGGTGGCAAAGAAAGGTTACGGAAGACTCTGACCTGGAATGCTATAACCTCTGGTCCGCCTTTCAGCCCTTCCATTGTAAAGGTCTCCAGGTGCAGCTTAGGCAGCTGCAGGGCAAAGTCGTTCCTACTTGCTGTAGTCCACGACAGCGAGATCTGATCTCTGACCTAAAAGGGGGAGGGAAAAAAAACACAGTATCAATGGTAATTCCCCTTCAGACACATTAACTGGGATGAAGTGGGTCCCCTTGAGTCCACTGAGTGGACTTGCATTGATCGCTGGACCTGAAATCCATGAATAAATTTAGGACTAATTGATTTTTCGTTGCAAATAAATCTCTAATTCAGAGTGCTGGGAGAGAATGTTAAGAAGAGAAAGCTTCCTCTTCTCTAGACTGCAAGAAGATAGGAAAGAAAGTCACTTATGGCTCCATGTTCAGGTGGGGCAGCACGCAACTCTACATGGAATGCTTGGGGTCTAGATTTAAGACGTTCAGAGGCACAATAAGATGGACACTGTCACCACATTAATTCCAGCAAACATGCCCCCAGTGAACCTGTTTTTTTTTTTTTGTTAAGCTCTCACATTCACATAAATACCTTACTCTCCTCAAAGAAAATACTTTTCAGTTAATTAAGCTGTGATGTAGCAAAATTAGATTAGATAATGGAAATATTTTTAAGACTTCAGCTGTGGAACAGCTCATAAGAAGTGGTCGTAAGTGCCCGTGGAACCACTAAAGTTCAAATATCAAGTATTTTAACAGTAGTAAGGACTACCTGGACAAATAAAAGGGAACAAAAAGAAAAGGCATCATAATTTTTCCAAAGCCAAATAATTGGGATTTAAAATATTTTGATGTTTTAGGAAACAACAAAATGCAGAGCACCGTAAATGAGAGAGATCCATGGACTTGTGTGGACAACTACAATCTTATGCAATTGGTATTGTACTGCCACCTTCTGTTAAGGTGAGCAATACCTTCACTTGTCTATAAAAATACAACGGGGAATATTCATAGTTTTTGATCATTAGTTTCTATCTATACAAGATCAGATTCTATGCATAGATATTAGAGAATGAGCCTATTAAGTAGGGGGTCTTCAGCTGAATATCACAGTAGATCTTCCAGTAATACCAGAAAAACATCCATAGACGTCTTTAAGTCTGCTCATTTCCAGCAGTCACAAACATTTTCTATTGGTAAGTAACAAGTGTCAGTATTACATATGAATACTAAATTGTAAATTAGATTAAACAGATTATCTCAACCTTTTTTAAAAAAAAAAACAGCATCACTGCCCATAGTTTATTAGTGTGCTTTGAACTAATCACTGAGATTAATTAGATTTAGATGGATTTTAACAAAACTACACAATATTTTTTAAAATGGACATAGAAATATGGAAAGTTCTTATCTCCATCTTCCTTGAAGAGAAAGGGACAGAAGATACCAAGGGGTCATAACTTATGATGACTTTGGAATACAAATAACAAGGCTTCCTTCCAAATAGACAGTGGTGTGTTATATACAAATGTTATTTTTAAAATAAATAGGGAGAAAGTCAGTTGTTGCATATGTGATTTTGTCTTCTTAGTTTGCAAACTCTACTCTTGCAGCGATTAAACTGAACTGTATAATCCTGTATTTCAGAGACAATATGCAGCAAAATTGTTTTAGAATGGAAACAGACATATCAATCCACATTCTCTTGCCCTGCTAGTAATTGATGCAATAGTTTACTACGTAAACATTAACACAATCATAAAAATGACTTCTCCATTCCACGCTGTTAAGAAGAGCATTTTGTGTTAATGATTAAGTGCCTGTGTTTTTTCCTTGTAAGTCATGAAAATGTTTAAGAAGCACTGCTTTTATTATTATTTTTTACTAATATGTGTGTGTGTGTGTGTGTGTGTGTGTGCGCGTGTGTGTGTGTGTGTGTGTGTGTGTGTGTGTGAGAGAGAGAGAGAGAGAGAGAGAGAGAGAGAGAGATGCCTGAAGATGTGTTAAATCAAATATGGTATATCCTGCACCCTGGTCTATGGGAATAGGGAATCTTACATTTCCCTGGTTGATATAAAGAATTCCTGTCAATATTGGTAGCTGTCAAATGTATGCAGTATAATGCAATTTTTATAACGGTGTGGGGCCCTCCACACATTTCTATCTGAACTATTCTAGGTTTAGGGTAGAGAGTCTACAAGAACAAAAACCATCTCTTGGGCCTGCTGTAGTATATATATTTTGCCCAGATAGTCATCTTGTTTAATGTACTACAAATGTCATTTTACTATATCTATAATAATGCATTATCTCACTTGAATTGTTATAGACTATATATATTAGCTTTTCGTTTTCTCATTGTAGCCAATGTGCACCCAGATAAAAGAAAACATTAATGTGGATTAAGGTTCTAAGAATTTATCCACATCAAACCACCAGTGTTTTGCCTTCTACCCTTCTGAACCATAGTCAATAGATCTAAATATTTTACTGCACCCTGGCCAATTCATTGTTTGATGTTTAAAAACGCACCCGGAATCAAAGAAAATTTATTAAATTTGAGCCCCCAAATGAGATACTATTAGCTTTGAAAGTCAAGTTTAACTGCGATATTGATGATTCTCTTTTTTCTGTGACAAAATTCACCAGGGAAACCCCTGATGTCAAAGTACCAAAGCAGATTGCTAATACTGAAGGGGGAGGGGAGGAACAGCGCAAAGGAGAAGAGGGGGTGAGGCGAGAGAGGAAGAGATAAACAATGTAGACGCTGCAGAGATACAACAGTGGCCGGGCCAAGTCCTTTCACCTCTACTTATTTCTGCTTTGGTCCTTTGCTGTTAGGTTATAACGATAAATTGGACAGTAAAAGAAGGAACATATTCTTAAAATGGACTAGGTCATCAGCTAAAAGGAATGTAAATGTTCCTTGGATGCAAAACTCCAGATTACATAAGTCTAAATATTTATCCTAATACTTTAATTATTAAGAATGGGCTGCTTTCTTTCTTTCTTTCTTTCTTTCTTTCTTTCTTTCTTTCTTTCTTTCTT